TGTCATTTTCTAATCGTAGTTTCGGAATTACATATTGTAATAGCAGTTGTATCAAGTAGTGTTAAGATGACGTTCTATTGAACTGTCTAGATTACAAAGCACTTAACTAGTTGTCCTTTATATGAAAACTAATATGGATGCAATTTGTTTTTTATTCTGGTCTCTTACAAAGACATTATTGACAAAATCGTGACTAATTTTCTGAAAAAGGGAAAATCTTTTGAATTTCAGTCTGATCACCGCTGGGAATACCAATATTCCAGAAATATTTAAAAGATGACAGAAATATAAAAATAGTCTTCAAGTCTCGCATGATTCATTAACCTTACCCATTAATCTAATGACCCACGAGGAAACCTTTTACATTCTATCTTGTATTCCATGATGGCCGATTAGCGACTAGAATAGACTCGAATTGGTTAATCAATAACAGACTTAAAATTTGTTGGTTCTAAAATGGAATAATTTGGCATAAGCACAACCTTAATCTTCGGATACTTTAGACTTAATGGGAAGCAACCAGTGGCGCAGCCAGGGGGGCACCCGAGCTACGAAGCTACGAGATTACATCTAAAGCGATTTTGGAAGTGACAGTAGAATAAATTTTTCATTTTATGGTCCATAGAAGAAGGGATGAACCAAAAAAAGTTACACAACTTGACGCAACAGGTGCATCTCTAAGGGGTTGTTAAAAGGTTGCTGTAAATAAGGCAGTCAACCTAGCAAGATACCAGCTAAGTGAGGATACCTGCTAACGTGGGGGTGGGGGGGATGTATACGGTCACAGTACAGATACCAGCTCACCTAGAGAATGGTAAGTGCCTTAGTAAGGATACCGGTTAACCAGCCAACCTGGAGGATGGAAATAGTCACAGGAATGATACCAGTTAACCTGGAGGATGGAAAGGGTCACAGTAAAGATATCAGCTAACCTGGGGAGGGGGGGGGGAGGTAAGTGTCACGGTAAGGATACCAGTTAACCAGCTAACCTTTGGGGTTGAAAGTGTCACAGTATGGATACCAGTTAACCTGGAGGATGGAAAGGGTCACAGTAAAGGTATTAGGTAACCTGGAGGATGGTTAGTGTCACAGCAAAGATACCAGTTAACCAGGGGGATGGAAAGGGTCACAGTAAAGATATCAGTTAACCTGGAGAATGGTTAGTGTCACAGTAATGATATCAGCTAACCTGGGGGTGGAAAGGATCACAGTAAAGATATCAATTAACCTGGAGGATGGTTAGTGTCACAGTAATGATATCAGCTAACCTGGGGGTGGAAAGGATCACAGTAAAGATATCAATTAACCTGGAGGATGGTTAGTGTCACAGTAAAGATACCAGTTAACCAGGGGGATGGAAAGGATCACAGTAAAGATATCAGTTAACCTGCAGGATGGAAAGGGTCACAGTAAAGATATCAATTAACCTGGAGGATGGTTAGTGTCACAGTAATGATATCAGCTAACCTGGGGGTGAAAAGGATCACAGTAAAGATATCAGCTAACCTGGAGGATGGAAAGGGTCACAGTAAAGATATCAGTTAACCTGGAGGATGGTTAGTGTCACAGTAATGATATCAGCTAACCTGGGGGTGGAAAGGGTCACAGTAAAGATATCAATTAACCTGGAGGATGGTAAGTATCACAGTAATGATATTAGGTAATCTGGAGGATGGTAAGTGTCACAGTAATGATATCAGCTAATTGAGGATTGAAATGATCACAGTGAGG